ATCCTAAAATTAATTAACTGAAAACGATAGAGACGCTGTTCGTATTTCTCTCCAAACCAGTCAAAAAACAAATTAAAGTAAATCAAGTGGAGAAACAAAAGAAAAGAAATGAAGTCCATTATCACCCAGTTGGAGGGACATTTGAATATGAACAAGCCTCATAAATTGACAGGTCGTCTTGTGATCCATTAAAGAGAATGATGGACCATTACCTCAATTTATTCACTGCCCTCGTGGGATTGGCACGTCCAATCCTGAATGAGAAATTTCTCAAGAAAATGCAATAATTAATTATATGGTTATTGTAATAGTAAATTAAATTTCGAACTGTATGAGGTGATGTATATGCAAAGTTAGGAGCAACTATAATGAAAAGCAGCAGGTTTGTCTTAGGCCGCTTGATAGCTGCTTATTGTTTTATTGAGTAGTGTCGAAGAATTTAAACTTAATTATTTTGACTGTGGGCTTTGTGGATAGTAGAAAAATACCACAGGTTTGAATGGAAGATCTGTGCTGGAGTTTTACTAGAAACATTTGTTATCAGACTTTAAATTTAAAAATGCATATAACAGGCAATTCAGAAAAATTGCATTGCGGAAAGATATAAAATAGAGTCTGTGCATGGTGCCAGCTCAAATAAAGCGTGCTTCTTGTAACATTTGAAATTTGTTCCTTGTACTGTTTAAGCGTTATTCTTAGCAGTCAAAAATCAACTTCCTTCCCTCTATTTTAACCAAGCCATAATTCTAATTTATAGCACCTGAAACCCATTATTTATTTGGCTTTTCTGACTTTTGTGTTATTTTTTTTTCTTTCCTCTCCTCGCCAAATTTAAGAATACTCCTTCATTATCTGACTGTTATCCATCTTCTATCAAGTTCTCATTTACAGAGCAAATATCCATTATGTTTCAACGGAGCACTTCATAATCTAATTTGCTTTGGTATACTCTATTGTTGTATGAGTTCACTCGCGCATACCTGTCAACCTGCCAAATCAAGCTTTTGACAGATGTTCAAGACGTGGATTATCCATCCGACTGGAGCAGAATCTGGAATGACTTGCAAGTAGTAAATCCCCGTGTCCGCTATTAGCCTATCATGATACCTATCACCATTGATGGTCCATCTCATGCCCCACGTCCTATCTCACAAGAATCATAACTCTCGGAATGAGCTACTTCTAGTAGATTCCTGAGGTGTATATTTAGTATATCATTGAGTTCGTTTTATCCTGAAATTGAATTCCAAACATATAAATGGATGCCACAGTTAATCACCTATATAATTTAGGTAGATCAAATAATTAGGAAACAGAACCATTGCAATAGAAAAACATTGCTGAACGATATACACTTACCATGTTGAATGCCTTAGTACTCTAATAACTCACGCTTAGATCTTATTATGTCATGTGCAGATTTGTGAACTTTAATTAGTATTGGTGACAACAGGTAAAAAATATCATTAGTACAAACGGAAATAAAACGTTCTAACCAGCGTTGCACGATGCTCTAAGAAGACAAATTATTTAACACAATCTGTCTCAATATAAATCGATAGGTATCTGTGCGCGCCACTCCCAGTAGGTTGGTGTTGACTCCAAGCCACTCATAACCTACGAAACAAAACGGATCGTGTGGAAGGAGAATAGAGAAGGAAGAGATACATAATGGAGTAGCTTGAACAAGATGGAGAAACATGTGATGGACTAATTATTTGTGAAAATGTTAATCATCCGTTATTCAAAATTAGTTGTACTTACTGACAAGTATTAATTATTGCAAATAACATCAGAGTGTGTGGACCGTGTGGATTCATTATATCAGGCACAGTACTCTATCATAGAGGTAAACAATTCGCCTGGCAGATTAGCCTTTCTATTAATGTAAGAATGAGAGCTAAAATGATGCAAACTATACATGCAATCTATGTTGTGTCACATTAATATCTACCCAAAATAACTGTGAGATTATAGTGTGATAATTAACTCCGGGATAATTGTTTTAGTGGGACTGCTTGTTCATAGTAAACAAAAAAAGCATTTTTGACAGAACTGACAAACAGACACTCTCTTCTTCATAAAAGACAGATTGGCAAGTCGCGGTATAATACGACCAGTGAGTGAAAGAGCAAGCTCCAAACAAAGTCCGTACACCATATATAACTGAAGATTACGATACATTGGGAACAGCTAGTGTTCGTTTCCAATTCCTCACCGAATTTGGCAGTCGAAAAACAAGAACAGGAATAGAGAGTCAGCAATTACAGATTGGAAAATAGCAAATAGAGAAATAAGAATGAAGTCATACTAATATAGCCACAGTTGGTTATTTCTCAGTTTAAAGATGAATCAAGAGGAAAGAGAAGAAGATACATAGCATAATGGCCGAGGAGAGAATAAGTAAGAGCAGAGATACAGAAATCATATGAGATCTCCATTAAGAGAATGATGGACAACACGCTGAAATCTATAATCACTGCCTGCTGGGGTTTTGTGCAGGTGTACCAATCTCAGATCCCGTTGATGAGATATTTCCCAGTATAAATATAGAGAGAGAGCAATGAAGTTGATATTTATTGTTTGATGTGAGAGGTATGAAATATACGCTCTGTAAACATGCTAAGTTGAGGTGGAGCGATAAGTAAAAAATCATGACAAAGTATGGATCCTAGAGATGAGAACCAAGCAACATGGCTTGTTTATTAAGGCTCTTGGAAATGCGTTGCTTAATTACGAGTGCACTCAATCTCCTTGTATTTTGTTCCGAGAATTTGATTAATCTTATATACTCGAGACATGCCTAATGTTTTCCTCTGAGACTGTGCCGATATTTAAGTGCATAATTACCTACAAGGATTGATAAGGTACGAAAAATGTTTTCAGTAAACCTGCCAGATCTTCCATCACCTGTGGTTATAGATTTGGTCTACTTCATGTGCAGCGACTATGTCCGAGGATAACATTTTGCGAGTTATCAACGTTACCTATATAGTTTAATTATATATCATTATCGCAGAAAACAGTGCATTCAAAAAAATTGTTCATACGACGGAAAAGATTAAAGAAAGTCACGACCAATCATAAAGAGGCTGCTCTAAGACAGAGAATGCCCATGCCTGGCTCATATATAAGCTCGTGCTATGCTCTTGACATTTGATTAATCTTGTTCCTTGCTAACTTTGAGTTAAGCGTCTCATTCCCATATAGACACAGTCTAACATTTATACCGAATTAAAAACTCACTTTACCTTTAATTTTCGCCTCTATTTTTTACCTAAATCAAACTTGGTGGAACAATCTCTTACATCAAGGGATTTGCCTGAACCAGTTGTCCTTATCCTGCCGGTCTATGTGTGGATTTATTGTTGTCCTCTTATTCTCTCCTACTCTTTTAACTGGAACGACGCACCTGCTCAATTATGGCTCCGCATTATTAAAATGTCTACATTCGTGGTCTTAATCTGATGTATCTCATTACATTTGATAAAATATCTTTCGAGCACTAGTTGTTATCATCTTCTCTCACTTGAGCGAAGCTTCCACCTTGTATTTCAAGTCCTGCTCTATAAATTCATAGAGTGGAGAATAAATACCAAGCGACTGTTCCCTATCAGATATGAATCGCTGGTTAGTTATATTAAATAGAGCCGCCGCTCCTGATTTAAAGGGCGTGCCGGAATCATGTGCTTTTTTATTGCATGTCTTGTCTGTCAATCGCATATGTTGGTCCAGTCTCATAATAAAGAAGGGCATCTTGTTTTATTTATTTAACAATCAACACACCTGTAACAAAGACAACTACCTAGTCGTCCAAATCTTATAATCAACACTACTTGTTCACAAGACCTATTCATTTTTGTGGTTATATTGGTATATATGCTCATTTTAGCTACATCATTATGGTCAAAACATGACGAGTGATCAACACTGAGCATACTTCGCGAATGTGTTTGTCATTCTGTATGTTCAGAACGAAGTCCGCGAAATAACAGGTACATAATAACACACTTGTGTTATTATTGCCAATATTATGAAAACTTGCAGTATAATACACTAATGTTAAATAGGATATTTATTATATCAACTTTCTATACCTATAGTCTTCGTCCACTCCACCTCACTCACAATAACATGTTCCACAAAGAGTATGAACGCATCTTATAGCACATCCCTGATAGGACACTATGTATATATATATATATATAGCAGCACTGGGTGCTAATACTGAATACTATTAAAACTGTCTAGCACATACTCTATTAACTCACTCCTGAACAAGTTCACTCTACAAATGCTGCTTTTATTTATGTCATATCTGATTAGCTTCTCCCAACATATTGATTCCATAATCAACTTTTAGTATTCATAACAAAGTTATAAATAGAAAATAATTTTTGTACTTTCACTAAGATTTGACATTTTGCTCTGAATGAGTGTGCTTCTTTAAATAGAGTAAATCAATGATTTAAAAAGTTTTGAATATGTCAAAGGCAGCAAATCCATACAACCTACTACACACGTCAGCATCAAACTCTTACCCTCTTTGCACTCCAGAGCCACACGTGACTCAAGGTTGTCCATTTGCATCTGCAGCCTCTTCAAGGTCAGGTCACTCTCACGAGATTTGCGCTTGTAAGCAATGAGTACCACCACGATGAAAAGGATGAGCAAGGCACCAGCTGCAGCAATGCCAATGATTGCCGTGCTGCTGAGTGGGCTGTCCGACGTGATGTGTACCACACCCGGGGAAAACTCGATACCACCCACACGTGCCTTGTGATAGTGAAAGATAAAGAGGCAGATTTTAATTACTGCATGCACATAAATACACATTTTATTTCATTAAAAGGTTTTCATAAAGAAGGGCCATATGTTAGCATCTTGTGTGGATATGAGAAATAGAGGAGAAATACATGGCAATCAAACTCACAAGGAAGTATGGTGTTCTTCAAGGTAAAACATATCACAAATATTTATGAACCATAAAATAATATTCACTTTTAGGTCCAAGAAGCATTTCTCTCTCTTTAAAATCACGGTCAAAAGTCAGACAGTCAGACATATTGATTTGCATTCAAATGTGTACACGATTTTGTTTATTTGTGCATCTACTAACTGTTTTACAGTAATGTGTCCCTCTCTGTCTATGATGGTTCAGGTGGTAACGTCAGGAAGCGTTTTGTTCAAAGTGGTCCCTCTTAAAACCACAAATGGAATCTTTATTGAGTTTGCCGGGGCCCTAATCCTTCTTATTGAAGGCTTATTTGTTTGTCTTTTGTCTGCTTGTGGGCAGTAACAGGAACCACACAGCTGATTGGATTAGAGCCGTCTGTCTCAAAGTGGACAAGAAGATGGATAGAAAGCAACATGAGGAATGCCTGTCTGTCTGTCACAGTCAATCGATTTGTAGGTCTCTCTGCTTTCTCCTCCACTATGGTCTGCCTATCTGTCATGTGACTCTGTCATTGTGTGTGTGTGTCTCTTTCTCTTGTCTTTGTAAGCATGTGCTGTGTCACTCACCAGGACCTTGTGTCGTCCCGTCAGGTTGGGTGACTCACAGAGCAGTTGGGTCTCTGACACTGTTAACATGCAGGGCTTCTCACCAATTAGAACTGTGTAGTTCAGCTTTCCATTACCACTATTGGTCGGTGGAAGGAAGTTCCGCCCCTGTAGGAATTAATTCATGCATAATTAGAGTTTGTATTGTTAAAGGTATGGGTAATAAATGGTTAAATAGTCTACATTATAATCTGCAATACGGATATGTATATGATTAGTATAGGCAGAGCTACTTTTACTGTTAATATGACACTGGAGTTGTTTCCGATAGTCTTACATACAGTCATCAACATATGCTGATTATTTTTATTTTTAATAATAATTTGTTTCACACATGTTCTGCTTTATTTGCTAGTTTTTAATGAATTAATCATTAAGCAGAATTCTGTCAAATGCAAACAATGCTCAAATGATCATGGAGTAAGTAGTACAAGTCTACCAGAAGTCAATAAGCTGTCATCAATACTAATTGTAAATAAGTGTGTGTGATAACTACCCTCTTACCTTCAGTATAATGGGTGATCCGGGTTTGAGCTCCAGCACCCCAGACACACTGAGTGGTTCAAACTCAGGATTTGGGTAGTAAATAAAATTGGTGTTGTTGAGTGCCATCAGAGCCTGCACATCATCCAGTTTAAAGCCAAACTCATCAGGTCTTTCAGGCACCTCTTGCTGCCTGGCCAGACTGATTGACAGCTCTGGGGCTTGGCACAGCATGGATGTCGGGCTCAACACCTGGCACAACTGGCAGAAGACAGACAGAGACGGGAGTTATATTTATGCATGAATGAACATATCTTGTGCACAAGAAATTGAGCGCTAAGTGGAAGCCGAGAAATACGAATTGAAACAAAAATAAACATACAGAAAATGATGCTTCATTTTTTCATCAGTCTGCATTATTTATATCATTTTTAATGGCTGGATCTCAACATACCTATTATATTATAATATTATAATGCATCCTTGCAACTAAAGCAATGACAAACTGGCACTTGAACATGCACTAAATTTACTATATGCCAAGACATCCCATCAACAGTTATTGGGCATCTTTTATGTCACAGGTTTCACTAAGCTACCACTGGAGACTCAATTCCAACTGGAAGCTCCTCTGTTTCAAAAAGTGCAAAGAACCACCTGTTGTAGTATTTTCCTTATATAAAGCCACCAAATGAAGGGCAGATAGAGAGCATGTCTAGTCTCACCACAATCAGGCTTTGATGTGTGAAGCTTCAGGTGTGACAACTAGGTCTTACCCTTCCTTCATTACCCTCCAGAAAGACACCCCCACCCTCTCACTTATTTATTCCCTATCCTGTTATTCTTCTCTGTGATCTTTTCTTCCTTCTTTTGACACATTCTTATTCTGTCACTCATCTGTTTCTATACCACTTTACTGCTCAATTACAGTGTCTCTTGTTTTGTGTTTTTCTGTCTTTGCTCTGGTCTTTCATTTGACACGTTATGTGATTTAAATTCTTCTTCTTTATTCATACCTCTCAGCTAGTAATATACACAAGTGAAGATTGTCCGATCTATCATTGTCATGCCACACGCCCTCAAATATCCCTCTAACATCTCCATTCCTCTCTGTCTGTCCGGGCATTGACAAATCAACCACCAGCACAGGTCTCATTCACAGACATTTCCGCCTCATTCACAGACATTTCACATTTCCGCAGTAACCTCTGCCACACAGCCACTTCACACTATTGCTTGTCACTCTAATTGGCTCCTTGAACATCAAACTTGACAAATCCTGCAAGGTCTTTGGGACATCACTGCCATATATCTTGCACTGACAGAGAAAGGTTACTGCCAAAAAAAAAAAAAAACTCCTCCTCTCTGTGGACAAATGTTGCTTGAAAATGCTTTGGATGTTTATTTTTGTTTTCCTCTCATTCAGTGCAAAACTGAGCTGTGTCAGACATACAATTCAGGTTCAATTCAGGTTACTGTCTGTACAGTAGCAAGAGATACAATGCCCTGTACAGGCATATGTGAGCACAGATGTTAAACGTAGTGCAAGGTCATGCTCAAATGGACCATGAAGATAGCATTACTGCCTTTTGTTACTCCCTCTTCTTTCAATCAGATCACAGAGACCCTTGTATAGCTTTATCTATCCTACCCTGGTTGAAAGGGTGAATAGATGGTAGATGAACTTGATAAGGGGCAATCTTTGTGGTTTTTAGTTCAGTGTCAAAACTTCTCTATTGTTACAAAGGTGTGGAGAGGAATTACATCATTCTCGAGTAATTCAACTGCAACCTGTTGATTTTCACAGCGCCCTCTCAGTGTTCTGAGGTTTTTCCTTGACCCATTTACCTAAAAGTGGCACCGAGACATTTAGTCACGCTCTGGAAAAAAGAAAATTACTCTGACATTCACTATGGCGGACTTCCTTTGGGACATCTAGCTGAAAAGAGAAGTTATGGACTTAAAAATACTAGTGGAAGATATTTCCCTGACTTTGTGTGTGGGTGTGCGTGTGTG